ATTGAAACAGAAGGAAAACTCTTAAAATTCTTTCTATAATATCACTATTACTCTAATACCAAATCTAGGAAAATTCACAATAAAAAAGAAAGCTATAGGTCCATATCCCTAATGAATATACATGCAATAATTCTCAACATAATATTTGCAAATTGCATCAAAATGATCATCCACATTCCATTCCTCTCTCCTACTCTGATTCTGTCCCCTGATAGCCTTGGGCCCATGCAGGCTCCAATTCTTCTGCCTCAGATCTCTGGACTACCTTCCTAATTCAGATTAGCTAAATACCTTAGCATAGATTTCTAAGTCCCTCCTCAGGTGGTCCCCCCATCACCACCATCCCTAGCTTTTGATTAGCCAAACAGACCTGCTCACCCCGGACTCTGAACTAGAAGATAAGACCCTACTGCTGAAGACAGGACATACTTCAGGTACAGGACTTGGAACAATGGAGTGGGAACTGACCTTTAAGCATTCCACCTAAAGTTCAATTCTTATGATGCTAGAAGATAATATGCAAACTATAAAGGGAACAAATCAATCAATGGTCCAGACCAACCCTAAAGCCTAATAGCCATAACAACCTCTAAAACGTAGGCCCATGGAACATAGCAGAACAAGGGGTAGAGAGAAAGCTAATTCATCCTTCAACTCTCATCAGTCCAGCTTCCTTATACAATGGAATGTGATACACAGAGATGGTCCCACAACTGATCAAGTTTTAAAAAGCAAGAGACTATAGAGAGTGTGTTTCTAGTTAGGACTCCCATATTAAACCTCATCCACCCAAGACTATTGCAGAAGAGAGGGCAGAGAGATTGTAAGAGTCAAGACTGGTTCATCAACACAGGGAAGCAGAGGCTTTCAGGCCACTTGTGACAATGGCAGCGTTGAGCACAAGGCTCATGCCACCTCAGACAGAGGGGCCAGAGTGGAGCAAGGGAAACTGGTGGCATGCCAGCCCTAGACTGTGAATTATTGGAGACTGATTACTACTAGGTGAGGGAGTGTAGGTTTTACTTGCAATCTCTAGATTGGCTGCTTAGACTCCAGTGGATAAATTTTCACTGAAGGACATCTGGGTACAAATACTTGACTAGATAAGACTTAACATGTTTAGTGGAATATGTGAAGTTTGGGGGAGGGTTGGTAGGGCATGGATAAAGGGGTAGGGTCTAAGTTTGATTAAGAACTGCTGTAAGATATGTACAACAGTTATTAAAAGGCTTTTTAAAGAAAAGAAAAAAAATAGGAACAAATGAAGTGAAGAGTCCTCATGGGTTTTACTCAAGTGTTGTTTCATTTATTTTCTTCACTTTTTCCTCTACTAATATCAGGAAATCTTTAGAGATTTAGACCAATAACATGGAGTAATTTTTCTAATTAGGGCTTCTGAGCATTGGGCCTCTAAGGCACATAATAGTCAACCACCAGCCCATCCCGTTAGCCCTGCAATTTGGTATCTTCAGTGTAGCTAACCCAATGTTTCTCTTTCTTCTCTCCATGGGTGTCCTCTACAGAAAGCTCCCATCAGGCACAGTACTCTTCAGTACTGAGGACACTTTGTGAGACATCACTGGAGAGCAGCATGGGAAGTTCTTTGGATCTGTCCTCCTTGGTCCTGACCCAGCAGAGAAACAGCAGAAAACAGTAAGTACAGAGGGACTTGTGTGTCTGTAGAGAGTGATTGGAAGTATTGTTTCCTTATTGTGATGAAAAACTGACAGTTTGTGTCTAGATGACTTAAGCTATGTCATTCATGAGGAATTAGAATTTGGAGATTTTGGTTTTACCACAGTACAGCAATCATGTTCCAATCATCTTTCACCATACTCTTCATACCTTCCCTAAATGTGTAGCAAATGTGTCCTTCTAAACTGATTCCTAAGCAGACAGGGTCATGATGGTGATGATAAGGAAGATGAGGAGGATGACAGTCTCCCAAATACAATGAACCATTTTGAGAGCTTCCTAAGTCCCAGGCACTTAGCCACGTGTTCCATGTAGCTTGTTTCATTTCATGGGTTTCATTTTTCTACAATTATGAAGGCCAGCTTATTTGAGATAAGTCCCACCACACTTGACTTATTATTGTTACCCTACAAGTGAAAGAGCATATTATTATTATATAACCTGTAGTAGATTGTTACTTAGAAAACTGTACTTAAACACACTCATGTGATTACAAATGCAGACAATGTTATTAAATTATCCTGGCAGGTTGTTTCTTTGACAACCATCAAATCATTTCACTTTCTCTCACCTGAGTAGCACACACCTTTCCCTATTTCTCTCTCTCTCTTTCACTAAGAGCATATTATTATTATATAACCTGTAGTAGATGGTTACTTAGAAAACTGTACTTAAATATGCTCACATGATTACAGATATAGACAATGTTGTTAAATTTATCCCAGCAGGTTGTTTCTTTGACAACTATCAAGGCATTTCACTTTCTCTCACCTGAGTTGTACACCCCTTTCCCTATTTCTTTCTCTCTCTCTCTCTTTCAGTTTGTGTCTCTCCATCTCTCTCTCTTTTGTATTCCTGATACTTCACAAAGCAGAGCAGTGTGTGTACCCGCTGTATGAATTAATCCAGTACATTAATGATAGCTGAAGTTCACAGGCTAAGGCCACAGAAAGAATATATACATGGTCACACAGCTTTGTCTTCTTGCCAGTCCTGGATAGTCCTGCAGTTTTCCACAGTCTTCTTTCACATTTGTTTTATCCCACATATTTTCAAATGGAGATAATATCTCATTTCGATCCCTGCTTAGGAACCTGGACATTATTTAAACAGGTGCCTAGGACGTTCCTATAACCAAGACCTTCGGATTCTTGCTTAAGACCTGATGTCTGGGAAAAATGAATGTGTTCAGTGCATCTCACACAGGGTTTCATAATTTAATGTTTAATGCTGTCACCTCCACTTACCTCATCTGTGGCATAAAACAATTCGTTAGTATCTCTGAAACTCAGCCTTGTCATCTGAATGCTTTATG